GAATTTCGTGACCATTCCGACAACTCTTTCCCTTAATGTAACAAGTGCTTACTTCCCTGAATCAAACAAATAACTATCCCTTTCATATGCATGTTAGTATATACATTTTTGCTCTGATTTGTTGTTGTTGTTGTAAAGTGTATTACAATATGAGCATAGTGGCGGATTCTTGAATTTTGAAAATTAAGAGATGTAGCCACATTTTCAGACAATATAAATAAATTGATCAATCAGTAAGTAAATACATATAAAAATTGAGATGGAAAACATGCTACAACAAAATTAGAAGGAAATTTTAATATCTGCCACCACTACACCATTTGTGTAGGGTTGAAATAGTTGAATACTAAACAGTTGTTACCTCTTGTCATCAGTGGGTTAACAGACAGTGGTAATGTAATAAAATTATTCCCAGGAGAGCCTGAGTCACAGAGAACATATTACTACATGTGACTCTCTGAACATTTTTGCATCACTGCTTCATATGTCATTTGTGTGTGGCCCAAGACTTGTAATCTGTATCACCTGTCCCTATAATTTCCCCCTTCAATCTGAATCAAAGATGGCAATCACACATCCACAAGAGATTTCAGTTACACTTTGTACGTACCGACAAAAGCCTAGCAGAGGTAGGGCGATCAGGTGGGTTCTTTCTGCAGACATGACTCAACAAAATGCTGGAATTCCTTTGACCATTCTGGGAGGACATTTTGGGGGCAACATTTTGGGCGATGTGGTACAAGGCACTCATGGCATTCATGTTGAAATAGGGCGGTTTGCGCTCAGCTAGTTCTATGCATGTGATGCCTAAGGACCACACATCTACCTATTATGAGAAAAAAAAAAATAAAAAATAAACTTTCTTAAAGGACACAAAGACAATGTTTACATAAAATACTCAATACAGATCCAATAAGAAGACAAGTAATACATAAACAATGAGAAAATGGTAATATAAGAATCAGACATTATCAATTCAAGTAGATACATTTTGAGTGACTTTGCCACATTAATTCATGAATGAAAAATTGCAAAACAAAAAAGGTCTTGTAAACATTATGCAGTGCTTACCTTTCCATCATATTGTCCTTCGTCCATAGCTAGAATTACCTCTGGAGCCATCCAATATGGTGTCCAACAAAACTATTAGCTGGTGATGCAATACTTGCACTACCAAAGTCAGCTGGAAAAAATATTGAATACATGAGAAAAACGCAATTTCGTATTTCAAGTAAACAAAAGCACTAATCCTCGAAGGAGAACTAGCCAAATGTGACCACACATATTTCCCTATTCCCTGATTACCTCTTCTTTTATAATGCTATTAAAATCAATATTATTATCACTATCATTTAATCATATGATGATCATAAACTAGTAGCAATAAAAAATCTAAACAAATTATTCCAAAAATTGATGAAAAGGGTTACATAGATAGAACTAGTTAATGATTCTTTGACAACAATGTACTTGTGAAGCCTTCTATGTGTAAACTCAGTCAGTGAACTAAATCACAGGGATATGGCACATATCATGCTAACCCAGCACAAAGGGGTTACCCACTGATGCCCTGAGTGCACATATACAACCAATGCCCAACATGGTGTTGTCTTGTTACTTTTGTTTACATACAAACATCTCTTAAAGTGTTCAGTCACTAAGGCATTAATCATTAGGTCTTAACTAGGTCTTGGCTTACATTTTTGCTACAGCCCTTGAATTTTATAGTAGAAATTTTTGATTTAATTAAAATCATTCATGACAATAGTGTTATAACAATAATAATGTAACTAAATGTAAAATGTATATTAATAACAATCATAACATCAATAGAAATGAATCATTTCCAAAAAATTCAGGAATGGAACAAACAGGTGAGATCAAGCAGACCTAGTAACTGACTCCTTTGTGACTAAACAGTTATGAAACAGTTTTTCCGTAAAAACATTAATAAAGAAAACCATAGTGGACAATCATGATAAAAAAATTATCAAAGAAAGAATGAATGACAGAAATCAAACAAAGGGGAAAAAAATGTTACATTGGCTTCCACAGTCACAATAAAAAGAAATGGTTATTTTTTAATTTACCTTAAATACCATAAAATTTTAGTCCACAACAAGTACCCTTCCTTGACAACAGAATATACATACCCAGTTTTACAGTGCCATTTTCAGTAAGTAGAATATTTCCAGCTTTGACATCACGGTGAATTTTTCCCAACGAATGCAGATATGCAAGACCAGAGAGACAGCCTTCGCAAATGGCACTGATTTCTTCTTCTCTAAGGGGTTGACGGTGAACTTCTATGATGTCTGATGCCGATCCTAAGCAGTATTCCATTACCAACTGAAAGGGTAATTAAAAGCATTCAATAAGAGAAAATGAAAAGTTTAATACATAAAAAAAAAAACAGGACTGTTTACAAAGAGTAAATACTCAATGACTGAGTGGCATCACTGAGTAGAATGAGTGACTAAGTTGAATGAGTAGAATGTACAAGGAGAACAAGTGAATAGAATGAGTGTGTGAAGTTACGTGGTTGAATGAGTGAATTATATACCTCCAGATGGCATATGGCTCACGTCATGGCTCCTAACGACTGCTCTTCCTACCATGCCTGAATTGGTCGCGGCTACGAAGGACATGTCATTCATATCACATTACAACAGTGCATGCATTACATTTTTTGCTTTTCTTTATGAATACTCTCCAGCCCACATATCAAATGGCCTGGGGCACTGCCTAACAGAGAATCAAAAGTATAGTGCTCTGATTGGCTAATATCTTGCATATTACTAATTTGCCTGCTATCCATGGAAGGTTATCACACATTAAAACATTGTGTTCTCTTGCTGCTGCTATGATTGTAAGTAACCTTCACTCTAGTTTATATCATCAGTCCAGCATTCATTTGAGCTCTACTGCACAGTGCATTTCAACCCACACCAAAATACTCTGGGTGAACAGTTTTGTCACAAAATGCACCTATCAGCTAATTATCATAAGCAATTTGTCCTTGCATGGGGGTCATCATTAAGACTTGTAAAATGAGAGATGACTTACTTTCTTAGCTGAGAATGTAATAGGGGGTGTGGAACAGGTAGGTAAGTTCTACACTACACACACATTCACCCTACAATCCAGATGACATGACCATTACATCATGAAAAAAATTTGGCTTGAGGGATGGGTGACATGAAAATGCCATCATGGGAAAATTTGGCTGTGGGCTGGGGTGAAGCAAAATTGCCTTTGTGAGCATTTCAACTGAAGGCTGGGGTGACTGGTATGACTTGCCACAAGTGCATATAGTTAAGACTCATCTAGCATTTAGGAAGGGGCTTTTCCATCAATAAATGAGTGTGGAATGTTCTGTCCTTGAGCCATAACTGGAAGAACACCTGCTACTGGGAGGATGTTATTTCCATGCTCATGATCCTATTCCTGGCCACCATGATCAGCAGCACAGGTAGTATTACAGAAAATCAAATATTAAAAAATAAATAAATAAATTAAAAAAATAACAAAATGTTGCTTCTTATAATTCTTGCACTGAGTTATTTACAACCTAGAGAGATGATATGGAGTCTGTCCAAGGAAAATAGTCTATAATCATCTGGATAGAGCAAATCAAACATCAAATATACATTGGAAAAAAAAAAAAAAAACATAACCAAAAGTGAGCGATTGTCATCATAAGTGGCGTAAATTTATAGCTCACACATTTCTAATTTTTCCATAACACCATGCATCTGCATGCAGACCAAGACCCTTCCAAAAAGGATTGAAAATGATAAATAATGGTTTGTATGCATTAGTATAACATTTTGTTTAATAAAACATCTTTGTCCCCGATTTGGGAAGGTGGGAGCAAGAATCAATTGAATATTTCACAGTTGCATTCAATCTTACTATCTTGTCAGATGTTCACTTAAGCTTTACTGTACAATGTGTTTCACTCCAGCCCAAAACACTCGGGGTGAATGGTTTTACCGCGAACCACACCTATCACCTATCTTAAACAATCTGTCCTTGTATGGTGGACATCATTGAAACTTGTCAAGAGAGATATGACTGACTTTTCTGATTGAAAATGTAATAGGGGCTTGAAACTGATGTAGACAATTTCTATACTACACATGCATTAATGACTAACAAAAACAGAAAGGTATATTGAAATATGTTCAGAAAGCTGCCTTTTTGAGGCTCTAAATTGGCAGCCATTTTGATATTTACAAACAGACCAGGAGGTGAACCAAACCACCTCAAACACTCACACACTTTGGTATGCAACACCCTGCATGACGCTTTGTCAAGCAGACCTTTCACTTTTTTTGCCCTGCTATGCACTGTACGCTTTGCCTAAGTAAATACAGGGCTGTTAAATTTGAAGTATTTCTTTCTTATAATTCATTATATATCATTCACTGGCACATAATCAGAAACTTTCCTGTTTTGATACACTTCTATACACACTGACAATAAAAAGGTACATGCCAAATCGGCAAATTTTACTAAATCTGTTAGATTTAATTTTTTCACAAGAGCACTCCTCAAGATACTCATTACCAACTCAAAACCACCCAAACCAATCCCATATCCACATAAGAGGAGGAAATGCTGCCCCAAAAGATTAAGCTTCGAGCTTCTTTTCATCCTCATCATTGAATCGGATGTTTAAGCCACATGCAAGAGTGCAGTGAGCAGGGTAAATTTATAGTTCCCACACTTCTAATTTTTTCTTAACATGGTTGACTCTACATGCACACCAGTGAATGGTTTGGTATGGCAAAAGGGAGGTCCCATCATGTGTTGGTTAAGTAAAATGAGTGACTTAATTAAATGGAAGGAAAAGAAAACTGCAAACATGAAGAAAAATGACAATTAGTCAAGTCAAATAGATGAATGGAATGAGTAAAATGAAAAAAATGTAAACATCATTATAGTAATTTAGCAGAAATACAATGGAATGAGTGAGTGAAATGCACAAGTATGAGTAGGCGAATGAGTGGAATTCAGTGGATCAACAGAATGACATGATTGGTGCATCAAACGAATAAGTGAATAAAATGGCTGATTAAATGAGTGAGTGATCATGGTAGTGACTAATGATAAAGAAAAAGAAAAATATCCCCCAAGGACTCACCCACAGTCCAACACGAATAATCAACAAAAAGTTACTCACCCATACTGTAGATTCCTTGAGGTAGCATCCTCTATAGGTTACTGTGTTTGGGTGACGGAGATTGCGCAAGAACCGTATCTCCTTCAAGATGTCTTGCCACTTCTCTGCACTTTGTTTTCCATTGTAGGACATTTTCTTGATAGCCCCACCTGAGAAGAAAAACAGTACATGGACTCAAAATTTTTGTCTAGTGTAAAACTATCTTGCCAAAAGCCTTAGAAAAGTAAGGCAATACCTAGGACCTATGAACTAAAATCTTCAAAATATCAAAATCCTGACAAGTCTTCTTCAAACACCTAAAAACACAATAAAACAAGGGTTATTTGAAATAATAAATTTAATGGCTGAATAAGGCAACTAACGGTGAAACCTAGTGTCCTACACATGAAATCTGGGGGAGGGGAGTGGGTGATTAACTGAGTAATAACCATCAATGAGCAAGGACTGGCTCCTCATCTTTCCACTACTTGTTCACATACCCATGTAACTTGAATGGGGGTATCTCCAAATCAATTTTGCTAAATAAGCAATATATTATGAAGCTATAGCTCCTTACATTTGTTTGCACTTTGGGGAAAAGTTGAGCTTGTATGAAATGAATAAATGAGCCTCCATAGAATTCCAAAATGTGAAGTAAAGGAGAAATGAATACAGTATAAGCTTTTGGCAAGGTGGTATTAAGACATTAAAACAAGTCAACATTACTTAACAGACAGAGAATTTCGAAAAATCAGTATATTTTATCAAATTACACATGGGCTACCTAAACCCAAAATCAGCCATATATTATGGCCATGAGACACCTTGGTGTATTGGTATTAATAAATGAGATCACACATTATGACAGTGACATTGCACATTCATATTCATAAGATGTAATACTAGAATTAGCATGTAACTGTAAATTAAAACACCAAATTATCAATACTTGGTACTTTCAAATTGTAAATCTCGAGAATCACCTTCATCCTAACAAGCAAAATATGGGGTAGCCTTCACTCCACATTACTTACTTCCTTGGATGTAACATGTCGTGCATAGTACACTGCTCCGAAACTGCCATGGCCAATTTCCCGCAAGTCATCAAAAACGCGGTCAGGATCCTCTCTTTCAAACAAGTCAGCCACCTCTGGATTCCGGAGGCTCCCGGGCCGAGTGATGGTGGCCATTTTGGAGATGTGGCAGCCGAGGCTTACGCAGCGGCTACGTCCACCTTCTTGTTACATCACTTACAACACTCCTTGCAACTGGAAAAGGATGAGAAAATTGTAGACCAGAGCATAATAATATGTCATCAAACTCTGATACTAGGGGAGAAAAACATTAAAAGGTAACAAAGGCAAGTTGTAACAGGGACCATCACTGAGCAGCTATTAAGGATATTCTCATCAGATTTTGCCTGAAAGAATGCCTGGTTGTCCTCTTCAATGCAAGTAATGTCTCTTTTTCTCTTTTTGGACCTTTTTCTAATCCAGTCCATGGTTGGTTTGGATTCCAGTGAATATTGCAAGTACAATACATTTCTTATTCTTTCTCTTCCAGTCAATATTAGCTGCTATATTCTGCAGCCTTTTACACACCAACATGTTTTTTTCACAACTTATATGGCTGGGCAATTTGTAACAAAACAATTTTTTTTCATCTTAATCAATATTTTTAAAAAATGATTACACTGAATCTTCTCATATTATTCTATAAAACTATCAAATTTTGGGCTTATTCAATGCAAACACTGGCTAATCTTAATCTCTTAATTGAATATGCCCCTCAGGCACAAAATTGGAGGTCATCCACTGCAGTACTGTCATCTAGATTCAACAAGTAATGTATATCTTGACTAGAATCATCAAACACAGCATAGACAAAACATAATTTCTTGATCATATATCAACAATATCAACAAAAGCTATGGATAGGCCTCCTACTATTCACATGTGTGTGAAATATCATTAACTTCTTCACTTACAAAGGCAGATTTTAAAGGAAGTTATATTCATGAATTTTACAGCAAATTTACTTTACTACCATGCCTGCCTCCTATAATAATACGAGTAACCATTATATTTAAACAAATTTCATTGTCTCTCCACTTCCTATAGCTAACTGATATATATGTTTCATTTTCATATTCATATCAATATCAAAATCCATATTTGTATGTATGAAAGGAAATAAAGACAAATTATGAAAAGAAACTGAATATTATATATTGAATTTGTATGTATCTATATAACCATACATATATAAACACATGTATTTATTCAATCAATCAATCAATCAATCAATCAATCAATCAATCAATCAATCAATCA